AAGGGCTTAAGTATCAGGTTTATTCTCTATGGAAAGAAAATAGTATTGGACATGTGTATTGGCAGTAATTCACAGGAGCTTAGGCAAGACTCCCCCCAACATTTTTCCCCTTCAATAAGTGGACGTTGTAGCCACTTGCGGAGATCTTTCAGCCATTTTAGTTTCAGCTGTGATCTGTATTTCGTAAAGCAAAGGAAAGTTGTTTTGCCTTGTATGGTCTTGTTCGTGACATTATTAAGGGAGTTATTTATTCAGCACTCTTAAGATTGACTCGTGGGAGAAGTAGCAGTCACGGGTAGCGAGGTCGATAAAGTCAGAAAGTCACCTAACCTAACCAAACCAAAACTGTCTTATTTCCCTGTGACTTTTTTTCGGCCACCGTAAGGTCAGACACACAGGTGAGTGTCTCAAGGTTAAAATCTACGAAATCAGGAGATTCCTAGTGTCTTGAAAGGCTCCGTGGTATTTGGAAGACCGTAGTATCAGGAAGCTAGTTGTATCTGGAAGTCTGGGATGTCTGGGGGTCCGTGGTATCAGGTGGTGGGGTGGGGTGGTGTGTGGTGGCGACAGAGGTGTGTGCGTGTGTATGTGAGACGCGTCTAGTCTGCTGGTGCACCTCTGCTGCCTACAGGTTCCGGCCGGGGTTGCCACCTCGTTCCACCACTGCCACCACCCCTTACCTGCGCCGCGGAGCCTCACGCTGCGCCGCGCCCTCCTCCTCCTATATACCTAACATGGATTTTATCTGCCTTACACCTGTAACACTCCTGCTCCAGCAACTACAGTACAACACACAGGTGAAACATTCCCTACAGGTGAAACATTCCCTACAGGTGAAACATTCCCTACAGGTGAAACATTTCCCTACAGGTGAAACATTCCCTACAGGTGAAACATTCCCTACAGGTGAAACATTTCCTCCAGGTGAAACATTCCCTACAGGTGAAACATTCCCTACAGGTGAAACATTCCCTACAGGTGAAACATTCCCTACAGGTGAAACATTCCCTACAGGTGAAACATTCCCTACAGGTGAAATATTTCCCACAGGTGAAACATTTTCCACAGGTGAAACATTCTCTACAGGTGAAACATTCTCTACAGGTGAAACATTCCCTACAGGTGAAACATTCCCTACAGGTGAAACATTCCCTATAGGTGAAACATTCCCTTCAGGTGAAACATTCCCTACAGGTGAAACATTTCCTATAGGTGAAACATTCTGTACAGGTGAAACATTTCCCACAGGTAAAACATTTCCTACAGATGAAACATTTCCTACAGATGAAACCTTTCCCACAGGTGAAACATTCTCTACAATTGAAACCTTTCCCACAGGTGAAACATTCTCTACAATTGAAACATTTCCCACAGCTGAAACATTCCCTACAGCTGAAACACTCCCTACAGGTGAAACATTCTCTACAGGTGAAACATTCCCTTCAGGTGAAACATTCCCTACGGCTGAAACATTCCCTACAGGTGAAACATTTCCCACAGGTGAAACATTCCCTACAGGTGAAACATTTCCCACAGGTGAAACAGGAATGGTAATTAGGTTTTTGTCCAGTGTATCTCTGCTCCGGATCCTTAGTTTCACTCTTTGAGGACGATGGTTTTTATACACATTAATATACAAAACCCAAATGCTAAGTAACATTTTTTGGGGGCACATGGAAAAAAAACTTGCTCAGGATTACAAATGGCTATCTGCTGTTTATCCAGAATCCGTTTTATCTCTTTTTGATTATCCATAAATAGTGCCAAGGAACATTGACTGCAGTGCCTTGTGAGGGTTACTGCACAGTAAATGTCTTGAACTGGCCACTTGCCACAGCGTTAACTTTGAATCAACACTTAATGATGAGAGTCAAATAAATTTGTGCTTTGTTGTTAATAATGTTTGGATGTTATCTTGAGCTCTCGTACATGAATGGTTTGTATTGTCAGAAGTATGTGGCTTAAGGAATTAAAATCCATTTTATATTGTATCTAATGTGTTAAAACTATTATTTTTGCGTGTTGACATATTTTATCTACAGTATAAATTCTGTCGTACACTTGATGGTTCTTTGCAAACAAAACATACCTGTATTAGAGACATAATGGGGGTCAAGTCTAATTGTTTATTTTAAAATAAAATCTACAGTTGGCAACTACAAGTGTGTCTTTTACTTGTTACTATTCTGTACATCCAGCTCGTCATATGCCTCTGACTATACTCGACACCATATTCTGTAGTCAAGGTACTGTCCTTAGACATGACATCTTGACCTACCTAGTTCATGCCCAGTCTTTTCTCGAAGGCCAACACGTTCGTAGACTTTCCCTACAAGCGTTTACATTTGCCTTTTTTCCCCCAATATTCACTGTACCATTTACCGTTCTTCAGTTGTGTCTTATGTGCGTTTGCTGACTTACAGTATTTCCGTATACTGCACAATTCAGTTGATCCGAGTACCGTCCACATACCCGAGGATTGGCGACCACAGTCCTCCACTCTAAACGTTCTCTGGCTGTTTTTGCTTAATCCTCTAAGGTTTTGTGTCTGTCTGGGGACCCTGTTTTTAATTTCATTCATCCATCCCAGTCTCTGCTTGCCCCTGGCCCTCCTACTCTCAACTTTGCCCATAAGCCTAATATTTCTGTTATTATCTCCTCATCCCTAATTGTATGACGAGAGTGTGTATTTTTTCTTTTTCTGTACGTTTAAAGTATTTCTCTTTGAAGTTTTTGCTAATCTTAGTACTTCTTCATTTGTTTTCCTCTCATTGTGGCTTATTCTTAGCATTCGTCTATGGCCCTAAAATATCACATTCAAAGGCCTCCAACCTCTTTCTGGTGTCTGCTGAAAGTGTCCACGCTTCTGACCCATACGTCAGCCCTTGCCATATAAAGCCTTTCACCACCCTCTTTCCCAGTCTGTGGAGGGGATGTCAGTCGCTGATGATGACCTGAGTTGACAAGTGTTGCTAATATGCAAGAAGGTTGACCACAGCTTACCTCACTGTCAGGATTAAACTAAAACTCTAACACTGAACGTTAACCCCAGACTAACACTCGATGATTTTTAAACAAGACAGAAAAAATATACAAATTATTTTTATTCACAATTTGGAAAGATATAAATTTCTTTAGAATTACATGAGCTGTAAGGGGGATGATTGTATAGGAAACCCCAACCCGGTGGTAGGGGAAGATGTATCCACCAGGATCAACACCTCTGGCCTTGCTGCAGCTTAGAATATCATATATATTCCCATCAACATGTAAGGTAATACAGTATATTTTATAAATGATGGTGTTAAAGTTTATGTATCATTGGAAAGCCTTGACTTCGGTTCTTGACTTTTTAAATGTGTGGCTTCGACTTCGGCTTCATGACCTTACATATGGCTTGCTTCGGCTTGTGACTTTCCACTGGGCTCGGCTTCGAAATCGGATGCTTGGTTTCGGCCCTAAGTTTGATGCTGAACATCCCAAATAAACATTGTACACCTAATTTAACATAGTATAACCTTACCTAACACAGTACCCACCCCTTACCTAACACAGTACCCACCCCTTACCTAACACAGTACCCACCCCTTACCTAACACAGTACCCACCCCTTACCTAACACAGTACCCACCCCTTACCTAACACAGTACCACCCCTTACCTAACACAGTACCCACCTTACCTAACACAGTACCCCCTTACCTAACACAGTAACACAGTACCACCCTTACCTAACACAGTACCCACCCTTACCTAACACAGTACCCACCCCTTACCTAACACAGTACCCACCCCTTACCTAACACAGTACCCACCTTACCTAACACAGTACCCACCTAACACAGTACCCCACCCTTAACACAGCTAAGTACCCACCCCTTACCTAACACAGTACCCACCCCTTACCTAACACAGTACCCACCCCTTCCCTAACACAGTACCCACCCCTTCCCTACAACGTATCAGTGAAAAATCCAGAGTCATGTCAAGTTTCACTCAAAAGGCTACATTATGGAAAATAGAAGATAAAAAGCTACATAACTTTTTATATTGAACTTTCTTTGGCAGTAATATTATTCCTCTTGAGATTTTCATATGTTAAATTATTTTTTTTAATGTTTTGAAGTCATTACGTTTTTGTTTTTTAGCAGTCTTGTTTCCTTTCTTAAATTGTGGTAAGTTCATATTTAATTATAACTTTGGTTCCTTTTGTGTTGTATTAATTTGATATTTTAAAGGTATTTTGGACACATTTCACAACTGGTTTTTATGGGGCGCGAGGGAAATTTTATGTTGACTTGGCAATTCGGATATTTAAGTGACCAGCAAAACACAGAGAAGTAAGAAAACGTGTGATGTTGTTGTACTCTTTTATCTCCTTAGGTTTTACATATTATGTTTTGTGTGCGGGAGCTCCTAATTCGAGGCTGGTTGACGAGGATTGCACAAGGTACACATGTACTCAACGTGCTCGTGTGTGTTGTGTCTGTATTAGTCTATGAGAACGTGAATGTTAAGAATACTTTCATCAGGTGAGAGAACTGGGCGAAACAGCCTTGGTTGTTGAAGCCCCTTTCAGATTGTAGTAACATAATTATAATCCATATTGGAAATCAGCAAAAAAAAAAAGTTTAAATTTTTATTATTGAGATTGTAATGGGTAAATAAAGGAATCTCCTGAATAGAAAAGTAGCCATGACAAATTTGTCTTTATTTGTTACAGGAGTTTCTGAAAACGAAATTTTTCATTCTTAACATATCTGTAGTTGTATCAAATACACCGAGATTGACAACACACACTTGTAGATGTAATAGAAGTGTCGACACACACACACACACACATCTCTGTAGTTGCAGTAGAACAGGCTAGGTTCCTCATATAGACCCACACAGGTAAATACCAGGTAAAATTATGTATATATAAACATTGTTGTTTAAGCAGACACCTGTAGCCTCAGCAGTAGCGCCAGTTGACCCTTTGCCCCCTCTCTCCTCCCGCAGACCATCACCGGCAATATGTCCACCTTGACCCCCCCAATAGCGCTAGAGAACCCCGCCCACCAGTTCCGCGTCGACTACATCCAGGACGTGGCCTCGCAGAAGGACTTCGACTACCCGGAGGAATTCTACGAGCACACTGAGATGCTGTGGAAGGACAAGGGAGTACAGGCCTGTTATGAGCGAGCCAACGAGTACCAGCTCATAGACTGTGCCAAGTAGTGAGTACTGATTTGTACCTGTATCTAGCTCTTAGAACGCTTATTGTTGTACCTACTGTTTACGTTTTGAGGTAAGGGGATGTTGTATATGATGAGCCAGGTTGGGATTCTTGTATGGCTTTTGTTTAATGTGATGACGTATTGCGAGGGATGTGGATAGCTCACTACAATACTACAAAGCCTGGACCCAGATATTCAAAGGTATGAATTAAAAATATTCATTGTAATTGTATATGTAAGAACGTATCTAAATGGCTGACTTATGCTAGGATTACATTTGTCTGTATATAAGAATACCTGTACAGCTATACTGCCTGTATCTATTGTAACCCAGCGTAAAGAAGTACGAAATTGAATTATATGTAGGTGCATGTTCTCATACTCAGAAAAGGGGGTTTGTTCAGTATTCCTGTTGCTCCACTTAACGATCGATTCGTTTTCGAAATACTCTTATTAACTAAACAGATAAGTGATAGTGATAATTAACTTTACCCATCGTTTAAATGACACAATGTTAAAGTGTATACAGTACTACACTTCTACACGCCCTTAACCTATTGTTTCTCCTATATGGACAACCTTCACCTAAGGCATTATAACATGTTACCTCGAGGACTGCCAGGCGGCCTCCACATGGTTACCTCGAGGACTGCCAGGCGGTCTCCACATGGTTACCTCGAGGACTGCCAGGCGGCCTCCACATGGTTACCTCGAGGACTGCCAGGCGGCCTCCACATGGTTACCTCGAGGACTGCCAGGCGGCTTCCACATGGTTACCTCGAGGACTGCCAGGCGGCCTCCGCATGGTTACTTCGAGGACTGCCAAGCGGCCTCCACATGGTTACCTCGAGGACTGCCAGGCGGCCTCCACATGGTTACTTCGAGGACTGCCAGGCGGCCTCCACATGGCTACCTCGAGGACTGCCAGGCAGCATGGTTACCTGCCAGGCAGCCTCACATGGGACTGGTTACCTCGAGGACTGCCAGGCGGCCTCCACATGGTTACCTCGAGGACTGCCAGGCGGCCCCACATGGTTACCTCGAGGACACGCTCAGGCGGCCTCCATATGGTTACCTCGACTGCCAGGCGGCCTCACATGGTTACCTCGGGGAGGCGGCCTCCACATGGTTACCTCGGACTGCCAGGCGGCCTTACCTCGAGGACTGCCAGGCGGCTTCACATGGTTACCTCGAGGACTGCCAGGCGGCCTCCGCACGAGGACTCTCATGGTTAGGACTGCCAGGCGGCCTCCACATGAGGCGGCCTCACTACTTCGAGGACTGCCAGGCGGCCTCCACATGGCTACCTCGAGGACTGCCAGGCAGCCTCACATGGTTACCTCGAGGACTGCCAGGCGGCCTCCACATGGTTACCTCGAGGACTGCCAGGCGGCCTCCACATGGTTACCTCGAGGACTGCCAGGCGGCCTCCACATAGTTACCTCGAGGACTGCCAGGCGGCCTCCACATGGTTACCTCGAGGACTGCCAGGCGGCCTCCACATGGTTACCTCGAGGACTGCCAGGCGGCCTCCACATGGTTACCTCGAGGACTGCCAGGCGGTCTCCACATGGTTACCTTGAGGACTGCCAGGCGGCCTCCACATGGTTACCTCGAGGACTGCCAAGCGGCCTCCACATGGTTACCTCGCTGCTCGTATGGAATTACAAACAACGTACAGTATTACGACTCAGACACCACCATACCATAAACACCTCTGACTATCTGGACCATTGGAACCTTTGTCGCACTGTTCTCTCCCAAACCCACGTTCAAAACTTGGGTCAGAATCACACCGACTACGATAACTGGAAGCGTTCACCTAGCATCACCGGGTGCACAATAGTAAAGTGTTGAAACGGTCAGTCTTGGCCTTGTTGATTGAGATGTGAGCTTCCCTCCTCAGAAATGAAATACAGATTTTTAGATATTATTTTCTTATACGTATAATGTCCACTGTAGTATTATTGAGAGTCGCAACATGTGGACTGTTTGTCATGTACCGCATTTAGGCGCACCTGAATTAACTGCCATGTGAGAAAAATTATCAGGCAAGGTCAAGAAAGACAGGGAATTGTTTTGACAAGTTAAACATTAAAACATTAAACAAAAAGATGATCATATATTAATATTTACAGGGCCTGTTTCCAACCTAAATTCTCACTAGTGGAGAATAAAGGCGGAACATGCGGAGTAAAGGAGGAGGTGGATAAGGAGGAAGAGGAAGGTGAGGAGGATTATATAGATGAGGAGCGAGTGTAAGGAGAGGACATACTCTGGGGAGTGTAAGGGATGTTGTGTAAGGAGGGTGTGGGGGGGTAGGGAGGGAGGGGGTGAGCCAGTATGAAGGACGGGTTGTGCAGAAGGAGGGAGGGTGCGGAGGTGAGGCTAAAGGAGTGTGTGAGTGAGGGTAGGGAGGGACGTGAGGGTAAAAGAGTGTGTGTGGAAGAGAGGTGAGGCAAGAGTGTGTGAGTGAGTGGAGGTGAGGGTAAAAGTGTGTGAGTTGGAGGTGAGAGTGAGTTGGAGAGAGGTGAGGGTAAAAGAGCGTGTGAGTGAGTTGGAGGTGAAGTAAGGGTAAAAGAGTGTGTGAGTGAGGGAGGTGAAGGGAGGGAGAGAGGTGAGGGTAAAAGAGCGTGTGAGTGAGTTGGAGGTGAAGGGAGGGTAAAGAGTGTGTGTGTGAGGTGGGAGTGTGAGTTGGAGGTGGAGAGGAGAGAGGTGAGGGTAAGAGCGTGTGAGTGAGTTGGAGGTGAAGGGAGGGAGAGAGGTGAGGGTAAAAGAGCGTGTGAGTGAGTTGGAGGAGAAGTAAGGGTAAAAGAGTGTGTGAGTGAGGGAGGTGAAGGGAGGGAGAGAGGTGAGGGTAAAAGAGCGTGTGAGTGAGTTGGAGGTGAAGGGAGGGTAAAAGAGAGTGTGAGTAAGGGGGGTAAGGTGAGGGTGCCAGGGTGGGATGACGGCAGGTGAGGGGAGGAAGGTGTGGGCACGTCCAGGCTGGGTATTTCCGGTTTGTTACCAGTTAGGGCGAGAGTTTATTATATGTGAGGTTGACTCAGGGTGTTATAATTACTCTGTCTCACGATTGATGGCTCCAACGTCGCTATTTTTGGCCGCCCCCTTGTACACCCCTCCTTCCCTCCCTCCCTCCCTCCTGCAGGTGGTGATGGTGTGGCGCTCTTTCTGGGTCAAGGGGTGGAACTGTGGTGGTGAGTCACTAGGAGGTGGAGCTGTGGTGGTGGTGAGTCACTAGGAGGTGGAGCTGTGGTGGAGAGTCACTAGGAGGTGGAACTGTGGTGGTGAGTCACTAGGAGGTGGAGCTGTGATGGTGAGTCACTAGGAGGCGGTGGTGGGTCACTCGGTGGAGCTGTGGTGGTGATGAGTCACTAGGAGGTGGAGCTGTGGTGGTGGCAAGTCACTAGAAGGTGGAGCTGTGGTGGTGAGTCACTAGGAGGTGGAGCTGTGATGGTGGTGAGTCACTAGGAGGTGGAGCTGTGGTGGTGTTGGTGAGTCACTAGGAGGTGGAGCTGTGATGATGGCAAGTCACTAGGAGGTGGAGCTGTGATGGTGGTGAGTCACTAGGAGGTGGAGCTGTGGTGATGAGTCTCTAGGAGGTGGAGCTGTGATGGTGGTGAGTCACTAGGGGTGGAGCTGTGGTGGTGGTGAGTCACTAGGGGGGAGCTGTGGTGATGAGTCTCTAGGAGGTGGAGCTGTGATGGTGGTGAGTCACTAGGGGTGGAGCTGTGGTGGTGGTGAGTCACTAGGGGTGGAGCTGTGGTGGTGAGTCACTAGGAGGTGGAGCTGTGGTGGTGAGTCAATAGGAGGTGGAGCTGGTGGTGACTCACTTGGAGGTGGAGCTGTGGTGAAGAGTCACTAGGAGGTGGAGCTGTGGTGGGAGTCACTAGGAGGTGGAGCTGTGATGGTGGTGAGTCACTGGGGGTGGAGCTGTGATGGTGAGTCACACTCAGGGGTGGAGCTGTGGTGGTGGTGAGTCACTAGGGGTGGAGCTGTGGTGGTGGTGTGAGTCACTAGGAGGTGGAGCTGTGGTGAAGAGTCACTAGGAGGTGGAGCTGTGGTGAAGAGTCACTAGGAGGTGGAGCTGTGGTGGTGAGTCAATAGGAGGTGGAGCTGTGGTGGTGAGTCACTAGGAGGTGGAGCTGTGGTGAAGAGTCGCTAGGAGGTGGAGCTGTGGTGATGAGTCAATAGGAGGTGGAGCTGTGGTGGTGAGTCACTGGCCAGGGTGTGGATTGTGGCAGGATTTCTGGACTGGTGTGGAGGGGTGGAAGGAGGGATGCTGGCAGGGACAATTGCCATAGCGTGTGGGGAGGGAGGGAGGGAGGGGTGGCGACTTTGGTATGGAGGGTATAACACAGATTGTTAGCTTAAAACAGGTTGTTGAGCGTGTTGGCACGCCAAGGTGTAGGGGTCGAGCTCGCGCCAACAGTTGACGAATTTGTCATGGTGTGGAGCAAAGTTTATTTGTCGACTAAACTACTGTACTGTAGCTGTAAAACGCAAACTCGATGTTAAATCAAGCATCAGCTTATTGGTAAGTAATTTTACCAAATAAAAAGCTGTCCCGCGAAAATGGCGGAAACTATAAGAAAATTAGTAGACTTGGTTCAGCCATGTCAATATTGTTCTTATTGTCCACTCTATCTGTATTTTTTATGGCTAAACTGTTTCAATATCAATATATTCTATTGAGGTGGGGGTGGGGGCGTGGGTGGCGGCAAAGGTGGTTACCTGTTGCCGGGTCTAGTCCTGAGGTAGGAGTGGCTATCCCCCTTCCTGCCACCACCCTGCTTGTTCACTCCTGGGAGGGAGGGGGCGTGGGGGAGGCCAAGTTTCTTTCAGCCACTGGTTTTCTGTTATCAAAGATCTCCTCCCGCTCACCAATACACGCCACTCATCCTTGAATGCTCACTTGTAGGTGCCATTAGAGTGTTTGTTTGATAGGGGCACCGAAACATGGTGTTAAGGCTTTTAAGTTCGGCTCTGTGTAGGTGTAC